CTCCCTTTGCCAGAAATATTTTATACCCAACCTGGACAGTTCCATGCCCTGATGGACATGTCAAATTTCCAAGTTGCAGTTACTCTTAAATTAATATTTCTGCCCATAATGAAGCTCTCAAATAAATTACAAAAATATATTTTCCCAAAATAGACTTTGATCCCAGAATACAGTTCCTAAAATGTTTGTATGACTTCTACAGAAAAAAGTAGGATACCCTCCCCCTTCTGTTTATGAAGGAAGAAAAGGAAAAGAAATCCTGGCCATAAGCATCAAGAGGAGGATGGTGTTGTACACAGGAGTTGTACCTGAAGCCAAGAAGAGCAAAATGATATGTCATAAATACACCACCTTTGAAATTGAGCCAAATGATTATTTTCTGAACACTTTTTCTACAATATTTACTATTTGTCCTCAAAATGGCCTAAGAATGTGGATATCCAAGTTTCACCTTTTGGACAAGAAAGAAGAGCTGAAGCTTTTGTTCAAACTCACGAAATTTAGTGCAAAATCAAAGGTAAATGCTAAGATGTTGTATCATAGACTATCTGGCAGTCTGCAGAATGGCTCCCCTGATGCAGTGTGCAAACTGGAAAACCTCGTGAGGTACCTATTCCCTCTATCAGGATAATGATTCCAAGCCAGGACACACCTAACTTTCCTTCATACGTTTTCTACTTACAGGTCAGCAATGCCAAGGGAAAACCAGAGCCACGTGACCGAATTCCTCCTTCTAGGACTCACCACTGATCCCAAACAACAGCTGTGGCTTTTTGCCAGCTTCCTTGTCATGTACCTTGTCAACATTGTAGGCAACTCAGTCATCATTGCAGCCATCTGGCAGGATGCCCACCTACATACTCCCATGTACTTCCTCCTCTCCAACCTATCCCTGGTAGACATCTGCTTCTCCACTGTCATTGTGCCCCAGATGTTACTGAACATGATGACACAGAGAAAGACTGTCCTCTTTACCCTGTGCCTCACCCAGATGTATTTCTTTGTGGCCTTTGGTATCACAGACAGTTTCCTCCTGGCTGCCATGGCCTTTGACCGCTATGTGGCCATCTGTAACCCACTGCGTTATACCACAATCATGAGCACCAGGTGTTATCTCCTGCTGGTGACTGCATCCTGGGTGGTTTCTCACCTTCACTCACTCATCCACACAATTCTCATGGGCCACCTCTCCTTCTGTGGGCCCAATGTCATCCACCACTTCTTTTGTGATGTCCAGCCATTGCTGACACTCTCCTGCTCAGACACCTCTGTCAATGAGCTTTTGGCCTTCATGGAGGGCTCCTTTGTGATTATGAGCCCTTTTATCTTCATTGTTATCTCTTATGTCTACATCACCTGTGCTGTTCTGAGGGTGCCTTCAGGGGGAGGCAGGTACAAGGTCTTCTCCACCTGTGGCTCTCATCTAACAGTTGTAGCACTATTCTATGGTACCATAATATCCGTGTACATCCGCCCCTCATCTACCTACTCAGTGACAAAGAACCGCGTGGTCACTGTCATCTATACGGTAGTTACTCCCATGCTGAATCCTTTCATTTATAGCCTTAGGAACAAGGATATGAAACATGCCTTGAGAAAATTGGCTAGGAGAACAGAATAAAATATGTGTATTTTATTAGCTCTTGGAGTTAATCATTAGTTCAACAATGAACCTCCATGTCTCTGCCATGGCCACAGTCATACAGGCTGCTCCTAGCCAATACTGAGCATTGCAGAGTTACCGAGATGGACCCCTTCGAGAGAAATACGGGGCTTTCCTAATGGACAATGTTGATTCTAGAATCTCTCATTGGACAAATATTTCTTGGTTCTTAATTGCACATCAAGGCTCTTCCTGCTCCAATCTTCCTTCTTTTCTTCCATAGATCACAAAGCGAGTCAGAAAGATTTCTCACACTGCCTCCCTAATAAATCTCTTAAGCAATGTGGTGGCCAACTTTTCCATAGATTTGACTAAATTAAGGGATGTACAGATAGCTGATAAAACACTTTTTCTGAGCTTATCTCAAATGCTGTTTCTAGAAAATATTATCACTTGAATCTATAGACTGCGTAAAGATCACCCTCACTGTTGTGGGTGGGTATCGTACAATCCACTGAGGACCCTAATAGAACAAAAGGCAGAGGAAAGGTGAATTCAGTCTTTTTCTTGATCTAAGATAGCCATCTTCTGAATTCGAACATCACCATTCATGATTCTCAGTCTTTCAATGTTGAACAGGGACTTACACCACTATCTCCTTGGGTTCCCAGGCCTGGGCGCTGTACTACAGCACCTGTATTCCTGTGGAGAACTCTCACTAATACATAACTCTAATCATATCTTGGTATTGCTCCATGGAAGACATAAGCTAGTGCATTAATCAATGCCCAGTGAAAAATGCTATGCCTGGTACACACTGTGGAGAAACTTGAGCAGGGGTACCAGGAGATTGTGTAAGATGTTTATGGCATAAGTTCAAAATGAACATCTATACTGCTTTCACTTATTGTGGTTTTATAGTTCACTTTAACAATGACGGGGTGTGCTGGTGCACACCTGCAATGTCAGCACATGGGAGGCACAAGTATTGTCATGAGTTCAAGGCCAGCCTGAAATACACAGTGAGATCCTGTCTCAAAAAATAAATAAATGCAATACAATTCAATCTGATTCAAGTGTGATAAACAACAAAATCCCAGTTTCTGACTCCTTTCTGTTGAAACAACAAATCTTGGGCTATCACTAAAGTATCAATAATAGAAAAGAAAACGATAAATTATTGCTATTGTAGAGATGTTCTCCTTAGAAGATGGTGGTATCAAAACGTTTCTCCAATTTGTTTGCAGGAGTTTTTCTTGAGATGAAATAGTACAGAAGACTAGGCCACATTAATTCAGATGTCATTAATGCATTTTTAAGTGACTAACAGGTTTTCCATTTAAGATAATAAATTTTGAATAATGACAAAGATATGAAAACAACATGTTCAACATTAGACTACATAAATACATTATAATACAACCTCACAAATAAATACAAGTTCACAATCCCTTCACCAGTTATGAGATCCAAAAATTAATGAAAAAATATTTTATCAAGTTTCAACAAACTTATTTTGTACCAGTTCCAGACACAGATAATTATGTGGCTATGGTCACAGTTGTTATGAATAACTAAGATCTACGAGTGTTCTTTTCTAAAACTGTAGATATACTGTTTTCTAAAGTGAAAAACCCTGCAGTAGTAGAAATGATAGTATAAACATCTCCTACACAGCACTGAAAAAGAAGGACCTATAACTACGAGTTCCAACATGGGTATGAAAAACATATGGACTGAAAGATGAATCATTTCATTCATGAAAAGGACAAACATGGGCAAATATAATGCATGTCATATGTATATAGTGATAGAAGGTAAAACAATAAAATTGTTCTGGTGTTTTTATACACTTTTTGTATGTTATGCACTATGTTCTTTTAAAAATTATTTTAATAATATTGCCCTTATAACTTCCCTAGATTGTATATATGAGTCATCTCTCTCTTCTGGTATTTCTACCTGGTAGAACTATGGACTTTTGAAAGCAATGATTGTGCTGCCCAATCTATACCAAATCTGTGCTAGGTACACATTATTATTTACTTGCTGGGAGCTGAGAGATTCCCTTAACACAGATTGGAACCTAAATAGAATGTGAGGACTTTGTGGAAGACAAAGGTGGGGAAAGCTGGAGCTCTCCCATTCCTTTGCCCACAGGAAGGGTATGCCCAGGCCTGATTACTCTGAAAGAGAAATATTCCTGACACTTCTGGAACTCACGACTCTTGGACCCAGAGGGGACAGCTAGTCAATTGGACATTTGCCGCATCTTGTCTCTAACCAGAAGGTCTGGGACTGGATCTCAGGAGACACTGCCTGTGAAAAGCCCGTAGATCTTCCAGGCCCCTGTTCCTGAGAACAGATTGCTCCAGATCCAAGCATTTAGTCGTTGTTATGTTAGAAAAGGAAAACGCTTGAGTCTCCCAGCCGTCCTCTTCAGGAGAAGTAGAGAAGGTAGACAAAACAGGAAGGGCAGACTCAGCACCCAGCAATGGTGCTCTGAGGATGAGCAAACTCTCCAGGTAAGACAAGAAGTAAAGACAAAAGCTCTATCTATCTATCTATCTATCTATCTATCTATCTATCATGTCTCTCTCCTATTCTTTTCATCTCCCTCTCTCTGTCTCTCCTAACGTTTCCTCCTTTTCTGCCTCTTCCTCACTTTCAACTAAATAGAGTCTGATTTTCCTACTGTAACTGTGTGGTAAAATTTTCCATGACCTGTTTTATTCTTGCACTCTTCACTCTCAGCCCACTCAGTTATGACAGCATTCAGAATCATTCTGCACCACTGCCCAAGCACAGCAGAGATTCCCATTTACCAAGAATATCAGAGGCCCAGCTGTGACCCATCTTTGTAAATCAATACCTTTTCCATCCCTAACACACACACTGCCAGAACACACACATACACAAGTACACTTTTTCTAGTAAAGATACTACATTCAAGTATCACAAACCTATGAAATTGATAGTTTTCTTATTTTAAAAAGGAAGAGAAAAAGGGGAGACTAAGACTTAAGAAATTTCTTCCCCTTCATCTCCAGTTCATCTTCAGAGACAAAGTCTACAGGACAACTTATTTGATAACCAAAATGCAAAATTCAACCTAACGAGATCTCTCATTATAGTTGGGGCTTCTCACTTCTGGGTATGTTTATGTGCCTTCCCTCAAAACACACCAGTTTACTTCTACAACCTTTGAAAACATCACAGAAAGTAGATGAAAGGCCCTGAATGATATAAATGTTTAGAGTCTACATCTGAGCAATATTTTTTACCCACTGTTCTACTTTAAATGGAAATGAGAGGGCTGGGTATTTAGCTCAGTGGCATAAACACCTGCCTGGCAAGTGCAAGGTCATGAGTTCAATCCTCAGTACCAAAAATAAATATGGAAATGAGAAATCAAACTGCCGTCTCTGACTTTCTGCTCCTGGGCTTCTCTGAACACCCAGAGCAGCAGCCTCTCCTGTTCGGGCTCTTCCTGAGCATGCACCTGACCACCCTGCTGGGAAATATACTCATCATTCTGGCCATTGGCTCTGACCAGCACCTCCACACCCCCATGTACTTCTTCCTGGCCAACCTCTCCTTCATCGATACCTGCTTCACCTGCACCATCATCCCCAAGGTGCTGGTGAACATCCACACACAGCGCCACACCATCTCCCACACTGGGTGCCTTGTGCAGATGTACTTCTTCATGGCATTGACCCTGCTGGATGACTTCCTGCTGGCCGTGATGGCGTATGACCGCTATGTGGCCATCTGTCTCCCTCTGTACTATACCATGATCATGCGTCCCCAGTGCTGCCTTCTTCTGGTAGCTGTATCTTCATTCTGCTCCAACCTGCTGGCCGTTTCCCTCATTCTTCTCGTGGCTCAGTTCTCCTTCTGTGCCTCCCACACCATCCCACACTTTTTCTGTGATGTACCTCCACTCCTCAAGCTTGCCTGTTCAGACACTCATCACTTTCAGGTCACAATGTTAACTGAAGCAGTTCTCTCAGGCATGATTCCACTCACCTGTGTCCTGGTCTCTTATGCTCACATCACACACACCATCCTTAGGATCCCCTCTGCTGGGGGGAAACACAAACTCTTCTCTACTTGTGGCTCTCACTTGACAGTGGTCACTCTTTTCTATGGGACACTTTTTCTCGTGTATTTCCAGCCATCATCGTCCTACTCAGCAGACACTGGAATGACTGCATCTGTGATATACACAATGCTTATCCCAATGCTGAATCCTTTTATCTACAGCCTAAGGAACCGAAACATGAAGGAGGCTTTATGGAGGCTCTTTGGCTTAGAAAAATGCAATACTCGATAAAGGGTACTTCCCCAGAGTGGAGGAAGCAGAACAGCAATTGCATTCATCTATGATTAAGAGGTCTCAGCACACAAGAAATCCTGACAAAATCTGGCAAGGATCAAGAGGCCTGAGCATTTACAGGGAGCATTTCCAATCCCAGATCTGAAAATATCTTACTTATCTGGAGTAACCTCTAATTGAAGAAAGCTGAATCAAAAATATATGCTATTTGCTGGAACTCAAAAAGCAAGAACAATTCTTGGAAGAAACTGAGCACAGCTAGATCAGGAGACTGGAATAAACCACCTATGCAGATTAGGTCTAAGATCCTTAACAGGGAGTGATTATTAGTTGTGAGGACAAGGCCTTGGTTCTTTAGTTTTTAAACTCTGGTTTGCTTTATTGACTGTACTTTATATAATACTCATTATATAAATTTGTAAATCATAAATAAGTAGGAAAAAGAAAACACTATTTTTCATTTAAACAAGTTATTGATATATTATTTTTCTTCTGTCTCTAATTCTAACTTTTTTGTAACATGCTATGAGTGAAATCATATATAGTTTTTCAACTAGTCTTACAAAATGAGTTGTCTCCGTATTTTTATTCATTCTCTTGAAAACTTGGCTCACCAAGATTACATCAGAAGACAGGGTCATGATTCATATAATCTTTCACTGTGGTCAGACGATTAAGGAGTTTCTAAGCTTTCAGTGTTACAAAAAATGATGCAGTGAAAGTTTCTGAAATCTTTTTTATATTTATGGTCCATTGCCATAACTGTTTGAAGAAGTAAGATACCTAAGTAAAATATTCTCGGGCTCTTTATGTATTTTGAAAGTCTACCTTAAGACGTCATAAAAATATTTTTCCAATTAATCTGCCTTTTATCTGTAACCTCTAGGATTTTGATGTTAAAGTTTTCTCCTTAATAATTATTAATATGATAGTTAATGATAGTGAAGGCCTCTAATTCCAACAATCTAATAGGTTACAGCAAAAAAGTCAAAATTTCAAGCGCAGCCTAGACAATTTAGTGATTTAGTCAGACATTGTCTCAAAATTTAAAAAAAAATTATAAGGTTGGAATGTAGCTCTGCATGAAGGACTTAGATTAATCCTAGCACCACTGAAAAAAAGAATGAAAGAAAGAAAAGAAAGGCCAAAGTGCTATTTCTATGATTTTATTTTCATTTCTTTGATTATTGGTGATGGAACTATTTTCCTGTATCTGTTAACCAAACTTTTTAACTCTCCTATTGTTTGTTCATGTCATCCTCTCATTATCTGAGGAGGGAGAATTATTGAATTATATAGGCTTTTTTCACATCAAACATATTATTATCTTTGTCTTCTCTGTCTTGCTAAGTGACTCAGTTCCTTCCTTTGTAATTTTCTTCTGGAAGGTAGTTTTTATCTTTATATTATTTTATCTTGTATATTATCAAGTCAACTTGTCTTCCAGAGCTTTAACTTAAAAATGCTTCTCTATGTGGAATTTATGCATATAGTCAACACTTTTTATTTCCTAGGGGAATATATTATTTTTAATATAATTATGTATTACTTTAAAAAGAAATCATATCACTAAAGTGGTTCTCTCTCAACATATCGCTTGTACTTTTTAGAAATTATTATTCTGCATCTTGTGTGATGTTACTCAGAATTATAACTATTGACTACCTCTGGACAGGGATGTAAAGAGGAACATTGGTGTTGGTCATGCTCTGTTTCACAGCCTGGGTGGTGGGGATCTGATAGTGTTCCTTTTGAAAAAGTCATTACAGAATGCATGAGTGGTATTGTACATTTTCTGTATACTTCACCAAATATTTAGGTATGTAAAAAGAGAGAAAGATTATAAACAAGAAAATTTGTAAGACATAAAAATATGAGTGTCTCTATAATCTTAAACATATACTTGGATATATTATTACAAAGATTCACGTGATAAGAATAAAACCTTTCACTCACTAGGAAACTATAACAATCTACATTTTTTAGGAATGGAAGAGTCACAAATATTCATAAAGAAAAATTAATAGAAGAAGGATAAATAGAGAAATCCATTCTTATTGTGATATTTTAATACATTCATGGTAATTGATTGAACAGGTTATTTTAAATTCAGTAATGATACAGGTTGTGACATAATTATCAATGTTCACCTAATGAACATGGATAGAACATTATACTTAACACTTGCAGAGAACATAATCTTTAGAAAACTGCAAAACTTGCTCACTGACTGAGCCATAAAACAAACTCAAAAAATATCAAATTATGCAGATTTGTGCATCCAGATACAGTTCTGTGAAAAATTATAACAAAATATAACTAAAAATCTCTACATTTGTGATAACTGGGAAGCCAGCTAGGAATAATGTAGAAGTAAAATAAGTCATAATGGCTACTAGAATAATATTTTTTCACCTGAACAAAGACCAACACAGGAAATTTACAACATTACATGCAAATGTTAGCAAAAAAATAAAGATTGCAAAATAGTGAGCTAAACTTCCATCTTAGGATGTTATAAAAAGAACAATAAAATCAAGAAAAATAAAATAAAAGTAAAACATGAAAGCAAATCATAACATCCTAGAATAAAATATGAGAGAAAGGACAGCTAATAAAGCATTACTTCTTGAAAAGATAATTTACATTCCTCTGGTGAAGTGAGTATATGGGGAAAATATCAATAACTTGTATTAGAAATAAAAAGTAACATATCTGATAGTTAAATAAAGAATTTTTTGGATAACTCTAAACAAATAATTCTAAATTTCTCATTAAATAAAATTCTAGAAAATTAATTCATCAAAACTAAGAAGTAATAGAAAACCTGCATGAATTTATAACTGTTGAAAAAGTTCAATCAGTAAACAAAATCAATTCCTCAAAGAAAATTTCAGGTCCAAATGGCTATAATGGTGAGTTTTATAAACAATCCAAGAAAACTATCACTTCTACCTTGCAAAAGCTTTTTAAAAATAAGAAATAAGGGAGGACACATCTTGTTCTGACTGATTTTATTATATTCTGTTTTGTTTAATAGTATCAAATTTGAGGGTATAGGCAACCACTTTGAAGGCAACAAGATATTCTATGATGCCCATTATGGTTTGACTATTATCTTCTTTGGAAGTCCTGTAAGGTCTCCAATGTGGGTTTTATTGGTCTTGTTCTGTACTGTTTTGTTCAATTCTCTTATACGAGATGATACAGGCAACTCTTTTTAAGATAGCAAGAGGCATAATGATAACCATTGTTGATCACCTGGTAATCTCTATTTACATTATATACTATGTCCATCCTCCTGTTCTAACTGACTCTGTTTTGCTTTGTCACATTGGGGGTTTTTTTGTTCTGCTTTGTTTTGTTTTGTTTTTTGTTTTGTTTTTCCTCTTCAAAGAAAAAGTTATAAGAACTATGGGAGTAATAAAAACCAAAATGTGTAATTGTTATTGTAAAAAAGAGAGGAAAGAAAGTGATCTAAAGGATATAACTGCATGTATATTTAAGTGTGTAGGATAGAAAACTGTATTACTGAGTATTTGTTGGATCATTGAACAGAGCTTTGTATGCTTTAATGTCCACTTTGTATGCTTTAATTTTGTAATCTGGACAACTGCTTCTGAGATGATAATATGTGATCTATTAACTAATGATTTCTTACTGTATATTTTTTCTCTTGAAATTCTGTATTACTTGTACCATTTTACTGTTTTGTTTTGTTTTGTTTTTCTCTTTAAATAAAAAATTAAAAAAAAAAGATATAAGGGAGGATCCAGCAACTCTCCTCATGAGATCAGCATCACTTCCATACTCAACAGGCAATGAGAACATGGCAAAAAATGAGAAACGGGCAAATCTCACTCATTACTATAAATTTCCCAACCCAAAGTCAGTTATTAGAGCACAGTTGCAATACAGTAGAATGTATATTAAATCATAACCAATAGAGTTTCCCCAGAAATGCAAAATTAATAAAACATTATACTTAAAAATCAATTAAAGTAGCAGCAAGGAAGCTGTGTGGTGTCACTGTGAGCCAGCGTGGGTCCTTCCGGCCAGGGAGAAGCAGCAAGGAAGCCACCCCGGAGCCCCGCCGCACTATCTGTGGGAGCCCAGACGGGACACAGGTAAGATGATAACCACCGAGTAACTGAAGTAGGGAAGCAGCCTGACATTTACATTGTCTGACTGACTTTGCAGGCCTGGGGTCGGTGCTCAGGGCAACTATTTAGAAGATAGCAATATGCAATATCATAACGATATGGATTTCCTATGTCGTATTACCATTTTGTTTTGTTTCATTTTACTGTTCTGTTTTACCACTTTTAAAATAAAAAATCAATTAAAATAAGCGTATATAGTACACAATGATGATAAACTACTAGTTCTCACTACAACGATTTCACACTCTACTTGGAGTCACATCCAGGACAGGAGGGTGGAAAAAAATAAAAGACATAAGTACTACAAAGGAAAAAGCAAAACTACATTTTATTCACAAATGACATTTTCACATTTTGCAATTTAAAAGAGTATATAAAGGCAGGTGCACCTGCATTTATACTTAGGTGACTTTTGTAAAAATCGAAAATAATAATCTTCCTTACATCACAACAAATACAAAAATCAGTTTCAGGGTTGAAGGGTGGTCTTTGTGGTGGAACACTTACCTATTATGTGCAAAATTCCGAGTTCAAAACGTAGGGCTCAGGGAGAGGAGAAGAGAGGAGAGGAGAGGAGAGGAGAGGAGGCTGGGTTGGGCAGGGTGAGTCCAGGAGAGAAGGGAATGGAAGGGAAGACAGGAAAAGAGAAGGAAAAATCAATTTCAGGTGGGTTAAAGAATTGTGAGCTCAGGGGGGCAGCGCTGAGGAGGACCCGCTGCTGCCTCTGCAGCTGGAGCCAGAAGGAGGGCGCAAGTCTGCAAGCTGAGAACATTCCAGAGTCCACACTGCTTTCGGGAGCATCTCTAGGAATCCCCCAGCCTTATTCCAAGAGAC